GCAATTGCTGTTTATTTTTCGACTGTATTTGTGGTAGCTCATTTGGGTTTATAAACATTTAGCTAAAACTTAGAATAGATGGATTGTGGCTAGTAGTGGAATTTAGAAGATGTGCTTGTTCCATTCTTCACTAGTCAACTGGATACACTTGCATCCCAGAGTTGATGTTTACCCCAAAATTTCAACGCAGCACCTTTCTCCTCAAATGTTCAACGCGGTATCTACTTAGCACAGATAGCCATTGGTTTCTTTCAACCCTTAATAATAATGATATAAGTTAGTTAAAAAGTCGAGCATTTCATTGTACAAGTATTCGTCTTATCAACCAGAATAAATCATGAACTTTATTTGTATTATATAAAACTTTACCCTTATGTTATTTATGTGACTAAAGACTAGAGTTTAGTTGATTAAGCATTTAGATATTGACTGGTGCTTCACGATTAATTTCTATTGGGTTGAATGAAACTGTTCAGTGGTACAGTATATATAAATATACTTGACTATATATTATCGTTAAACTGGTCAACATTTGTTATATATGGGGCAAGTAAATAATTAATAATGTGATTGACGTATTGCAAAAAGTTGGTTACATTTTTCATTCAATATCTTATCCGTTTAGATTGTTGCTATCACAACTTAGTAAATCATTACGAGTTGGTAGTACAATTCATATCCCAATGAGTTAAGATTCCAATTTTTATTTCAAGAGATGCTTTTCAAATACACAACTTTTCCTTTTCCCACCGGAATAATAAATCCAGTTACACAAAACAATAAAAGACACATAAACAAAGGGAGCTTTGGGAACATGTATAATGATAATATGTGTAGTTCCTATTGAAGTATTTTGCTTACTTTATAAATTAATAAATAGCTTTTTTGATTTAATTCAGAGATTCAGACATGAGTTATGTCTAGAATTACTGGCATTCGCTATTTGAAGGTGAAACAAAACAACAAGACATATTTGACTGTATATAAATACGTATATACATAAATCTTTTTGATGGAGTCACCTCAGCTACAAATCTCTTCCATTATCACATTAATCTTTCCTAGGTTAATGGATATTAATGAATAATTACCCATATTTCATCGTCTCTGTATATCTAATTAATAAATAACACTGGTTAATCACAAGAATATTGATTTCGAGATTGTTATCAGTTAGAAGAAATGATAATTATGTATGACAATTCATTTGAATGAATAAGATCCTTCCAGGAAAAAATATGATGCATTAGGTAAATGAAGTTAATAAATCAAGTAATTTGCAAGGATAATTCAAATGGTAATATGTTCCTTGTTTAGTGTAAGTTCTAACTAACATGTTATTTAGTAGTATTTAGAGCTAGAAACATCGTTTTTAATTTTTTCCTCTGTTTTAAATCATTTAGACTAGAACTAAAAAATTTCTGGATTGATGAAAGAATAGTCAATCTCAGAATTTTAAGATAATTTCTTACTTTTTGTGCCTTTTAAAAAAGTATTTGTGCAGTTGTTTACAGAAATTGTTTTCAACTAGTGAAATAAAACCTCCACAAAACCCCTTCTCATAATAATCATCTGCTCACCAGTGACTGACTCCAAGAGACACTCCTGGAGTTCTAGTGATAAGCCCTTACCAGTGGAGTTCAACCAGGTCTGTTGTCAGATATCAGCTCACTGAAAACAATTGTATACGGTGGCGCGATTTCGTGGATTGGTTAAAGTTAGACATTAACACCATTGGATGCCGGCTCAATGGTCTAATGGTTAAGCGCTCGAGCGTAAGACTGACAGGTCCTGGGTTCGAATCTCGCGAGTTGCGGGATCGCGGATGCGCACTCCTGAGGGGTACCAAAATAGAACGAAATGGCCGTCCAGTGCTTCCAGATTTTCCATAGTGATCTAGCTTCAATTGACTCATGATTTCAACCAGAGAAATTGTTTTGTTTAGTCAAATTACAAGAATGATATATAAAAGCTGTTCGAGATGAAAACAATAAAAATTTGTATTTGAATATCTCATTCTACAGAGAATAATCTAATTCCGATATACAATTATAAATACAAAATGCAAAAAAAACTCATCAAATATTACACATTATGATTAAAAGCCATATCATAACAAGCTGTGAAGTTAAAGTTGCTGTCATAAATGAAATTTACTTAGTTTACTTAGTTTTTCACAAAAATTAAAACAAAAATATTAGAAAACTACATTCCTTATTCTATTAGTTCACTAATTATCATATATTCTGTAAAAGCACATAAAGTGCCAATGATAGGAAATTAGTCTGTGGTCAATTTCACAATTTCCAAATAAATTATGAACTATATTGATAATAACAATGTTTCAACTCGAAAATTGTTATTTTGAGATAAACAGAAAATCTAACAGATCAAAGTTCTTTTATTCTGTCATTTCTAGAAACAGTTTCTAGCTCTACAAAAATCTATGTTGTCTGATATCTATAAAACTTTTAAAAGCTTTTATGTACGTTTTAATGAGCGCACGTATATAGATTGTTCTAAGTAGAAAAAATTACACTACGGAACATAACATTATAAGCAGCATTTCACTAAAAGTGGTCACCTTTTTTCTTAGATATTGCTTTAGTCATATAAGATATAAGTTGTTCAAAGTAATAAACTGATACTCTTTTGAAGTTTTATCAAGATAATATATATTTGAAAATGATTTTCATGATGAACCAATGTCATTTAGAAGATTATTGAAATGTCGTGACTACCTATTGACTGTAGTTAGAGACGCCTGAGAAGAGTTGATATTGACCGAAGTATTATAGTATCGATATAAAGTTGGTCATTTAAAGAAATAAAAAAGATCCAATGAATTTTTGATAATTAATTTCATCCACAGAGAAATATACTGATATGTTTTTGAGTCAATAAACAACACTGTATGATACAGGAGGTATTATTATCAAGGTTTAACTTGATAATTTCGAATAAATTGAGCATTGGGTAGACTGTTATAAATAAATAATATATCTGTGATATCCCAATGAGTAGATTGATCCCATATTAATCTTGCTGTTCCGTTGCACTATTTAAACTTGAATTAATTTTAATTTGGTTATTTATCCTCTGAAGAAATGGCTTACACTAAGTCACGAAACGTCAGAAAATCTAATTTTTCTACTCATTGGGATATTACAAATATATTATTTATTTACTGTATGATACAGTTCATCTTTTGTAGTAATTCAGTCACATATATTTCGGTTGCCTTTTTTTGAAGAAAAGACTTTTCGGTTTACATGTTTATTGGTAAAACTCTCTAACTAATCACTAGTTAATATCCAATCAATAAATATTCACCCTAAAAAGCTCATAAAATAAATGCCATGCACTTGTATATGCCTAACATCTCCACTTTAGAATGACTCTATGTTTACTGATCGACTTTTAGAGGTCACATATATTTTTGGAATAAAGCACTTTATGTTAGTGACCGATTTTATATATAATAAATACAAGTTACGGGGATTTTTACAAGATCTAATTAGTCGCAGTGAATATTTTATGCTCAAAATGACCATTTCTCAACTATAGATGAACAGTCGGGAGTTGAGTATTATATTAGCAGTTCAGTTGAGATTTGTAAATCCCTATCATGGAATGGATGACATGTCTATTAGTAGTTGTCAAGTAGTTCTAAATGCAGTTGACGTTTGATTAGTACAAATCAACTGTTTGCATACTTAATGACTCCTATTTCTATTTTGGAAATAGATGTTTCTGCAAATCATTCTAAGCTGATTATTTTATTTTAAAGTGCTATATTTATATTAGATATTCCCATATTTCTGTTTATTATGTTTAGAAGACCTACATCTGATTATCATCATACAGAAGAACCACTCACTATGAGTACTGATGATCTGTCACAAGATAACAGGAAAAGAGATGAACTCATAATCTCTAGAACTAGCCAGTGTCATATTAGTTAATCTCTCTGTGATAAGGGCGCATAACAGTCATTAAGAAAACATCCTGTTACACGTCATTTAGTAACATGATGATTTTCCATAATATTTTAAAAAACTGCATAATCCTTGATCAGATAAGTTGATTGTTATCATGTACTTGCTCAGATTCAAATCAAGATTTAATCAAGATAACTTACATGACGAACAAATGATTCACATTACAAAGTCACAACATGGTTTCTGTGTTTAAGTACAATTTTCGTTAACTAAACCACAAGTGGGTCTGTTTAAGTCTACCCCTTCATGTAAGCTTACAAATAACTGAATGTTACCCCTTAAATATACCACATTCAACGTTTTCAGAGTTCAATACAATTATAAATAATCCATAGAGTAAGTAATGGACTAAGAATATTTAGAATTTATGAAACAGAACTGTAAAACGCTATGAACTCACATATGAAAAACGAGATGATATTAAAACTTCTGGAAAATCACCGCGAATAAAATTCTCGGCAAACATGATATTCTCATATTAGATAGATTGGTATGTAAACTACTTCAAACTCTTAAGCATCTTCATAGTGAGAGTATCTAAGTTGAATAATTCTAATCACTCTATAGTGATTGAATCTTGTTAAACCATTTAATTGTATCCATTATCATAGCCGGTGATCATTATATCTTGGCCTGAACAATAAGTGGTGAAGAGTTCCCAAATAACTGGGACAATATCATTATAATTACTCACATACTTTATTCCTTGAAATGACTAGTTTTGAAATAAACTTAATTTCAAGATGATAATTAATGTTTTGTCCTTGCTTTCATTACCGAAAGCATTCTCTCATTTTAAGCATTTTAAGCACAGATACTAGATTTGTACACTATATTTTTAAATCATTCTCATGAATAAATTACTAAGATGTTTGCTATGAGTAAAATAACGCTATTACCAGATTTTAAATACGAAACAAGCCACTAATATTAAAAAGACAAATGAACAGGAAACATAGTAATATACTTATCACGGGTGTAATTTTAAATATAACTAACTGATTGATTTAATGATGACCTTGTCCACCATGGTATTGCATTGTCTACTGGAACAAATGTTAAGTCATGTATGATGCGACCTTTTAACAAATTAATATCCTGTTTATTGCCAGTTGTTTTGACAAAAGCATTATGGCCAAATCTTGAAATGAAATTCTCACTGTGAATAATTAGCTGTTTGGGATAAGATTGAAATACACTTGAAATATGCTTTTCATTATTCGGACAAATTGATTTATATGCGATAGATCGATAACGAGGTTTATTTATCTTTTTCTTAATATTATCCAGTATTAATGGCTTTAATGTTTCGTTACGAATTGAATTATTTTTCACGGGTAGATGCTTGGAATTTAATAAGTTAGATGTTGAATAAGAAGGCTTTATATGGGATGATTTGTCGTATTGCAATGACTCGTAAGCGCTGGTTGTGCGATTAGATTTAGCTTTCTTAAAGATTGAAAATATGGTTTATAAGTGAATATATTTTTATGTAAATTGTAGCTTCCTCGTTTCTTCTCTTCATTGCATACTCCTGATGGACTTCTCATACTATCTTCGTTGATGAAATCATATTTATCTGCAATCCTTTGGAAGTCCTTATTTCGCTGAGAAACTGATGACTTTAGATTGTACTGGTTGATACATTTTGAATCTTTAACGTTTAATGAGTCGGTTGAGTGGCTATGAGGACAAAATGAACATTTATCGTCAGTACACCAGAACGGTGAATGCACATCATTGTGTGGAGGATGTGTTATTTTGTGGTCTTCATTTATATAGTTCAATGACCATAACGAGTTAACTGAACATGGTCTGAGTCTATAAGATTCCCAAGGACGAAGTAAAGGTTTCAAGTTTGTCCGATCAACGCTTACTGGTCTCTGGTTAGTTGTATTTTGTATGGGTGAAACATATTTTGCACTGCTCTCAGTATTTGTTGGGATACTCATTCTTTTAACTGTTTCTGTCCCGCGACCAACAACTCTTAGGGAATTTGATCTTTTATACCATTCTCTAGCCATTCGTATTCTTTGTATACGTGGTGTATTCGAATGAGCGTTTATATCATCCCAGGATTGCGGACCAGGAGGATAAAATGGAGGTCTGCTAGACAATGATCCAAGCGAATTGGATCGTTTTACAGTTTTTTTATTTGCTTGTTTAACAGGAGTTGTATTTCCTGCCGTATTGTAGTACATCAGTGGATGAGGAGCAGAATATTTATGCAATTGTCTTGTAGAGGATGAACCTCTAGGTATATTTCGATAACTATTATTCATTCGAGAGTTTCGAATTTCTGAACTAACTGAACATTTGTCAGTTTTGCTAATATTTGTGGACTTATCTTCAGTCTGCATGACTGTGATAGGAATGTTACCATTATTCACATTGTTTAATTCCTCTCTTTTACCTGTTTTGCAATTTTGTTCTGTGTAATGTGTACTAATTGGAAACATTTATTTTAGTGGTATATTATCCACTATAGAGCATTTCAATGTATTCATATTTTAATGAAATATAACTATTCGCCTAAATAATCCCTCATTTTTATATAGTCAAAATAATAGTAAGAATTATACAGTTAAAATCAATAAACAAATAGTAATAACCAATCAATATTACTTCACTAAGGAATTATGGGACAGAAAATGTTGATCACTTCAAGATTGTTTGACAGAATAATAAAAGGCATATTCATTAATGATTGAAAATATTATTCATGAAAGTTGATAGGCTTTAAAAGCCGAACATATGAAGTGATATATCTGACTGTTATGGTAGTTTAAGGACATATGTACTCAGTAGTGATATAAATTTAAAGTACAGCTTAAGTACTTTCTATAAGTGCTCAAAACTAGGAGATTTGAAAATATTGATTTAGATGAAATAAACAGTGAAAACATACAAAATAACTTCGAGAGATATTAAATTCTCAGACCTCTTCAACGATCATTACCTCCAATGGGAAAACGACATTATTTTAATGTATACAACCATTTTAATCAATAAAATGCTAAATATTCGATTCAACTCTAGATTTATTACTGAGAGAACCTAAATAGTAATGGAATAATTGTATAACTACTATAATTTTCTTTTCAATTTTCATTTGAAATATTTCAGAAATTCCATTCTATAGGGTACCTAAATAAAAAACTAAACGCCTAAACTCCATATATTTATTCTGAATAGGATTTATTATTATTGATCTAGTTAACACATGATATATATATGTAGCCACATAAGGACAAACTTTTTTCTATGGAAAGTCATCAGTATCAGAATCAGTCCATTTTATGTACCCACTAATCAGTCAGTATATAACCAGAGAATAAAAGGGTCTTTTTAAGATCAACATTAAATGAGATGTAGCAAATTAAGATGAAAAAACTGTACCTGATCTACTGACAGAGAATATGCAAACAAAATGGTAATAAGTATTTCAAATAGGAAAAAACAGTTATAGAAAAGAAATTTTCCATCCTAAGGTATCGTTTACTAAACCTTCATAATCGTACCTATCACGTAATCAGTTGTCTACAATAAAATATAAATCCGCCACGTCATTAACAGGGCTACCATAATTTATATTGGCAGCACAAGGAGTGACCTTTTCAAGAGTATATCTGAACTTTGCACTAACCTATCTAAAGGTGGTTACAAATTAGTTAACAATTTTATTAGTAAATAACCGGTCAAACTTAGTCATTTGTCTCTAATAAAATCTTCATTCAAAATGTTTAACAAAATCATGCTAACTGGTTTCGAGGTACACTAGACATAAAATATCTGAATTGAGGAGGCTTCGGTAATTCATCGATTCAAATCTGGTCTCTGTGTTTAGAAGTGGCATATCTAATCCTTTATTTTACCATTGTCTTAATTCCGTATTACATTTTGTAGCTCCGTAAATTGTTTCGGTGTGTGTCTGCTTATTCCTTATATTCATTAAGTGAACCAGTAACTTTGACATTTTTTTGCTACATATTATTTTATTTTACCTGTTACTGTTTACCCTTCGACTATACCTATAAACACATTTATACAGCTTTAGAGAATGGCATCTTTTGAAAGAAAAGTTTCTTCTTTGAATTGTTTTATTTTTACTCAACAACCCATTTAGTTATTTGTTTTATTTAAGATATCTTAGTTAAATTTCAGGATAGTGTAAACTGAATTTATCCGTTTTTTTATGATAAAATAATGGAGTACATATAGAGAAATATTTTCTGGATACTTCATTTTGTTTTTTTAAAGAAATCCGAAACAAAAGCCTTCTAAAAATACAAACAAGAAATACTAAATATAGATACTGAAGGCATTGCATCTGAACTGAATACTTTATTCTTCTTCCATGAACAAAGGTTACTATAACCAACTACTGTTCAAGCAATTTCAAGGTTAATAATCTCGACAGATATTATCAGTGAGAATAAAGGAAATACTTTTAATAATGATATGGTCTAAGTTACATCATTATTATAAGAATTATAGATTCACAGAGAACCGATAAAAAGAAAATCAGTTGATCATTCCTAACTGTACACTTTGTCATGGCCAATATGTCTAAAAGTACTAAAGTTATGTAAGTATATCAGGATCATGTGACTTACAGTAAGTTGGTTTCACAATAATGACTACTATAGTTGAATATAAAATATACAACTTATTCTAGTGCAGCACAGATTTTCTCAAAACGAAAGTAGAATGTTGTAGTAGTCATTACAAAAAATACCTCGTGCTATAAAATATAGCAGACAAAACTGGTCCCTTTCAACAGTTCTAATAATTCTGGTCAGTGAACTACTTCATGTTGAGAGCTTCAGAATAAAATAACATCAAATAGGGTTCACTTTTATATTGCTTGGTAGTTATAATGAACGGTTAATTGATAGATCTAATTGTATGTTAGGAATCAAAATGTATGGTACTAGAAAAGACTTCTTTATTTCTAATGAGGAGCACATATAAAATATAAATAGGCAGCAGCTTTGTTTCTATGCACTCGACATTGCGGATATTTTAGTCTCAGTGATTCTAAATTTGATTAGTTTAATTCATAGATAAGATTGACTGATGGAGAAATGTTATTGAAGAAATAAATGACAAATATAAAGATTTATAACGGTCAACTAATCTGTTAAGCTGTCCAACTATCTTATAGTAATAATCTGATCTACAAGTTCTAGTAAGATCTTTAGCATAAGCCAAAACATTTTTATCCTAATCACATTTACTAAATCATATGAGAAAGAGATTATACACTGAACTAATGACAAAAAATTGTTACCTAGACAACTTCCTAATAATTTCACTATAAAATTTTTCTTCATTACAACGGCTATTATTTGTATCAAAGCACTGGTCTAACTGTTGAGAAAAATGCGTAAATTTCAGAAAATTTAATGAACCTTAGCTAACAGATAAATATTTTTGGCGAGACTATAAGTTATGGACGAATCAATCAGGTATAAGATAACAGGTATCGAATTTTGACGAGAAATTCACTCATCCATTTGGCTAAATAGACTCTTGGCATTATAACTTATGTTAGTTCGTGGAAAAACCCTAAATCTAATTCCTAACCTTAACCATAAACTGTAACTCATCATTCGAATTCCTACACTAATCTATAACCCTCATTTAGTCTTAGCTATTAAGTAGACACTCTCAAGGTCAGTCTAGTGTCGCTTAAAGGTCGTCCATAAATTATGGTCCCACCATATTTTTTTAATTATAGGAAAATTATAATGGATTAAAACTTTTATGAAAATTCTTGATATTATGAAGTCTCTAAAAAACTTTTTGAACGAATGAAAAAATTAATTACTCTCATAGCAGATATATGAATCCTTTAGCAAAACAATATTATACAGATATCATGGCTCATATGTCACAGAGATAGAAAACGTTCTGATTGTTGTGTACATTCTGTGTCATATACAATTAAGCATATGTCAAATGGATCTGTGGAACAACGTTTATTAATCTGTAATACTAAAATACAGATCAGTCATAACATTTCTACACCGATCTTCTAATTTTGATAGAACAGATTATGATCTAGACACTACATATATGTTAAAACTTATGTGATATGAAACATTTCAAAGGGTGCAACTAACTTTAATACCCCTCAGAAACATAATACGTAAATAGTACTAAGAATGTCCATAAATCTGTACTTTATGATGCACTTCGTGTATCAAAGGGTTTTTTTGGTCAAAAGAAATCAAATAACAAGTTAGTGTTCGCTTTTTATTAGTGTTGATAATGTTCAACCACAATGGTTGTCAAGCTGTAAACTCTGTTCGTTCACTTAAACTTTGTTTTGATCATTTGATGAATCATATTTCAAACTTATTCAGCGAGTAAATATAGATAAAGTTTTAATATCTCCTTAATACAATCTCGTATTATATAAAAAAAAGAAACTATTCATATTAACACTTACGTTATTTCCCGTTTTAACAGTTGGCATTATTCAGTCAATGATGAAGGTATTTTCAATAAATAGATAAAATGATTAGTCAGTATTAGTGAGATTTATGGATAACAAATAATCTGATGTAATACTGATGAAGATTTGACAAATATGAAAAGTAATGAGTAACTAATAAAAGGAAATATATGTCAAAAAAGATTTTGTTGTTGTTTATATGTGTATATACTATTTTAATTAGTTTCGAAGAAAATTATAATAAATGGATCCAACTATAGTAAGATGAATTATATTGATTGAATGATGATGAAAAAAATAACAGAATTTGTCCAACTGATAGTCACAGTAAGTTAGAAAGTATAGTGTAATTATAGAATTTTTTTAATGCCACTATTAATTAACACTATTTCTCTGTTTGACTGATACTAGTAACAATATTCTATCAAATAAAATACAAGTTGATAATAAGAAGGCAGATGAATCTTCTATCCCTTTTTTGCTTTAAACCTATCATGTTTTCTATCCATTACTATTACCACTAATACTGCTGCTGTTACTTCCACTTATTTCCCTAACCTTGATGTTGTGATGCATTTTATAATAACGACAAGCACCATATTAATAAATAACAAATTATAGAAGCATCAATACTACCACCTACGCATTTATTTTGCCTACACAAATATATGTGCTTGCGAAATTATCAATATACGGAATTGTTTTAGACAATTCTATTTCACATTAAAGATGAACGCACACATTAGTTGACAATAAACATAGTTATACAGACACACAGGATACATATACACAGAACACGTGGATACACGGACACAAATAGGTCACAAATTGTGCTTTTCTCACAGTCATATCTTGATAATATCTAAGTTTTAGAGAAATATAGAATCATCATATGTGTATCGATTGTTAATGTAGTCAATAACAATTGACTATATACTTTCTAAAGTTTAGAATATTGCCTAATAATAAATGACTACTTATTAGTCGAAGCTTATGTTTATTAACTGTTTATGTCATATATTTTTCATCCTAATTTTGTTTTTATAAACTGACTTATTTTAATCAGAAGTCTTACTTTCGATGTTTCCTTAATTTATGTGATAAAAAGCTAATAAACAAGTAAATAAAGCATTTGAAGTACTACATTTTCCGAAAATCGCTTATATTTCGCTAAGTAGTATTAATGAAGCTAATTTAGCATTTATAATTGAATAGAATGTTTCGGCTTTACACTTAGGGTGGGATGATTAACCAGACTTGTTGTAGAAGTTGAGCACTTTTAAGTAAATAGTAGTATACACATGTTGGAGTCAAACCCATACTTATGT